AAATCTAGTGATCAGAGGCTACCATGAAGGAAGGTCACAGTGAACAACGAGATTAATCAAAGTAAGATGTAGCAAGGTACTGTATAAACTCGCAGTGAGTGACCGCAACTGAATCAGGCAAGCAAATCAACTTAGGTCGACAGCCAATTGTGTCAGGCGCGAACAACGCTACTTGCTACTTGATCTGTTGTTGGAGAGGCTTGATAGGCGCCCGGAGCGCCATAACTTCCAGAATTCGCACAATACATGTGTCCACAACGATCCCAGTACGAAACTACCACGGTAGTCAGCACGCCTGCGGGAACTCTTGACCAGAATGCAGCTAAACCCGAGCAGAAGATCATATGTTGATTCTTATTAGGTAGGTATTAGGGTCACCAGTTAAGTTCAAGTTAAGATTTGAATCCGGTTGGGATTTCATTAATATGCATTAATTGGAATCTCCTATATTGTTGACTGGTTCCAATGAGCTTCAGTATTCCCCATGCATATGATTTTATTCTTTCTCAGATCGTCTTCGCGTTCTCATCTGTAGTCGCGGGTTTTGAGCAGTTGCGTGGAACTGGAGCGGCAGTTTTGCGGTGACATATCAGTACTGCTCACAACTGGTGGGAACCGGTTGAGCAATGCTGAGGTCCGTCTTTGCCGAACACGCTAAACGCTTATCCTGCCACCTCTAGAAGTGTTGCCAGTACGTCTAGAAGGCCTGCCAAGCTTCTTTGAAAAGTACGCTTTGTTAGTTACTGGTTCGCAGATGACTTTGGTAGAGGAAGGCCGTTTGTAACAAGTTGGCATCGGAGTTGCACCGCCTCGTGCAGGATTCACGACAATGTTAGAAGCGTCCTAAGATGAATCAGGGTATGAAGACTTCATATTGTCATCATTGAAAATGGACCATTGATACACTGCTCTATCACAGATGAACTTCACTGCTGATTTGAATTCCATTGCTAACACTGAGCGGGTAGTTCGTATACTACTAACCAGTCTGCAGGCCAGATGGGCAAGAGTAGCCGAATCCATCACACAATGGGAGGTGGACGTAAAAGACTTGGCAGATTTCGATACAGCGGAAGCTCCAGTTGCGCGAAGTAGATTCGTCCAGATTGCTTCAACAAATGCTTTACGACATTTCACGACGAAAGCATTACGAGTATAGGATAAACGAAAAGGTCTTAGCCGTATCCTCTATATCAGCTCAAGTGATCCCCAGAGACCAATCTGTTTGGCCTATGGTAGTAAACATGTTACGGCATCGTGCTACATTTTTTGGATTCAGTTGTTCCTGGTAGGTAAAGGACGCTACAAGTGTCTGAAGGCATGTCACAGATATCTCAACTGTCAAGGCAGTGAAAGATGCAGTGTCTGTTTGTAGAAAGCAACTAATCACTGCTGCATTCAGAGTCCAGGCGTATCGCTTTAGCGCTTACAGTAAGATGTGAGTGGTTTTCGCCGGATTGGAACACGGACTCGGAAGAATCTTCATCTGAAAGATGGGATCAAGGTGATGGACATGTCAACATTGCTGGCAGGGCTGCTCTATGTGGGTGAATAATGAAAACACATTCATCACCCAGAGTAATAATGCCTATGGTGGATTCTGCACATCGACTGGTGGCATAAAGTGACTGAAAATGAAGTCATTCTCGGAGGCAGCATGCAGAGAATGACCAGCATGTTGTTACTGTGGATACTCCACCCTCTCAGAACATGGTCAAGGTGCGTTTGTCACAGACCAATGCTGATCTCCAGTGGTGTGAGAAAATAGCAGCGAGTGAGTGATAATGACATGACCAAATAAAGAAAGCCATCTCAGACGTGTGCGAAAAGAGGAATAAAGCATGAGAAAGAGAACACAAGACACGGTAGCGCAAGATGCAAACGGACACAAGCGTAAGCCGAAACAGAGGGCGCTCTGATAAGTGTCAGTGCAGTTGGAAACGCCGTTTCCATGATCATGTGTCAACAAAGTCGACAGGTCAACTAGTGCAGCAAGTGCGTCTCGCTGTCGCTGCAGTTAATCTAAACACGACCAGCGAGGGTTCTGCCGAGTGCGTAGCATGTCCAATCTGATTGAGAAGGATGTAAGTTTCATTTAGGATCCTACGCAACTGATATTCCTTGTTAGGTGATGGGTGTAAAGCTTCAGCCACGATACTTTCACATAATGCAAGCAACTCTGAGTGGTAGTAATGCCCTCCGAGCCCAGCAGTCCTACATGTTACCGCGCCGAGTTCTACTTGGCTGTCCGAAAACCTGATCACTCCGACTGGACCATCAGGAAGGCAAGGGTCTGAGTATCAGTTTAATGGACGTCAGAGCCAAGACAGTTAAGTGGAAAACAACACAGTTAGTTATGTTTACACGGAGACCTCAATGAATGTTTTCTGTTCTCTCCTAGTCTGTAGTAGTAGTATGAGATTGTCCGAGAACATGCTTTTAATCGACCAATACGACTATTCAACTGAAGTTCTGGACAAAGCTGTAATTTGACTCATGTGGGGAGCACTGATCCTCTTGACAATAGTTTAAATGCAGACAATCGCATAAGCGAGTAGTACCGATGCAAGAGCATGCGGTCCTACTTGTTTGTACAAGTATGATCAATGTCGATGAAGACGCAGCTGATTGCGTGATGAGAAACACACACATTACTTGTTTTCCCAAATTGCACGTCAGTCATGTAAATGATCAAGGAGTGTAAGCAGGCTATGTATCACTCCTGATTCCAAACTTCATGTGTCTTATCGTTCGCCTTCCGAATCGAGATGAGAGATGGGTGCAGGGACTATGTCGTACACTAGGCGAAAGTCCTAGCTCGTGGGGCTAGCTGCTGTACTCTGAACAGTTCGTAACTGGCATGGCAGTGGAAGATGAGCCGCGCTATATCAGTCAACTATCAATCATGCAGATCCGCGGCTGTCACCTATGGCTTAGTGGCACTAGCCACTGGCATCCGGAAGTTACGGTGTCGGAATCCGGTAGGGGTCCGATGGAAGGCGAACCACGGACGAGACCCAGAAGGTGGAAACAGTGCTGTCTGGTACTTTTTCAGACTTACCAAAGCCCGATGACTGAGAGTGTACTGTGATGAATTAACATTGAATGGTCCCAATAGGTAGAACCGACAGTTGTGTTTTACCGGAGGCGTGGAAGACTGACTAGGAGTCGCTGCGGAGGGTCTACAACGTATTACATCAAAATCCCTTACAAGAAACCAGGAAAAATACTGACGCCAACTGCAAATACTAAGCTAAAGTCCGGCCCGTAGCCTTCCGGATCACATGCCTGCCTTGTAATCCGTGAGTGTGCATTCGAGCCCGCGTAGGGACCGGGCGATTCTCGAAGTATCCATAGCCCATGAGCGACTGGTGATGGTTGCACCGTAACCAAGCGTGGATACTGCGTCCCGACGTACTGCTGAAGCATTTTATACTAGGCAAAATCGAAAGTTCCCCTGTGTTCAAGTTAGTTCAGTCAAACAAGTATGACCCGGGCAGGGAAGTGCAGTGGATCAGGGTGCAATGACTCACGTCGCTCAAGTATCAGAAATAACAAGGGCAGAAAATGGAAACAGGATAGAAGTGCGCAAAACTAATGCGGATTCGGAAATTAACAGCTAGATGCAAGAAACCGCATGCAGAAACGCCACTCATTGCATGACTGCTTCATGTTTGATAGTGTCTCCAACCAATCATGGGAATAATCTCGGGGTCCCTATCCACGAAGACGAAAAGCACCAGCCTGACCAAGTCTCTCAGTCAATTTCTCCATGCGTCGATGCCACCTCGCGGTTTCCCACAATTTGGTGCAGCCATGGCGTATAACGCCCGCCGAGAAATCCAGTCAACAGGCATACGGAGAACATGACCTAGCTATCGTAAACGGTTGAGTGTTAACAAACGCTCGAGTGAGGCACCGAAAGGTTTCTTGCTAAAACCAACTGACAGACCTCAGAATTGCTCATCCGGTTTGAGCTACAATCCACAAATAGCAGTGATCAGAGACGACCGAGCGTTTTATGTCTTCGCTGCGAACTGGTCAGGTCTCTGATCCAAACGGTAACACATGTCGTAACGCAAGGTTGTACACTTTACTTTTCACTGACAGACTGATATCAAGCCGTCTTCATAGATGGTTTAGCGACTGGACAGCCACACGGGCTTGCTTTTCTATTTTTTGTCTGAGGCGCGTCAAAAGAATGGTGGTCGGTCGACGGGCTTCTGAGCAAGTTTACACCTGGAAATTTATGTCCAAATAAGTCGCAGTGCGTTCATCGGGGTGCCCCAATCACCCTGACGAGATGTGTGGGGTACAATGAATAAATTTCAGTTGTAAATGTATCCAGCATACGAGTGGTTAACTTGGAAAGGAATCAGCAGTTCCCAAGACTATAGAGTGGAGCGCCCAAGGCCTATATAGGATGCACCAACAACACATTGATATGCGAATAACTATCGATTCACATGGTACACAAGCCCGCTCCATGCTCTGGTGTTTAGATGACTGCTGTTTGTATCAGTATGGATTTCACGATGTGGGTGTCCATTCAAGATGAATGATATCGTGGCAGCCAAAACCACTGGGGAGCATCAGAGACAACAACATGGGAATTGTTTAGAAGCAGAGGGTCCAAGAAAAATTATACAACAACTCGGTAAGCAATAGATTGCTGCCATGTCCCGGTGGGTTAAGCATCTAATCGATGGACAGGGATATTGAACACCAAAGAACAAATAAGGTGTCACCAATACAACTCTAGAAGAGCTGCTATTCGCAGTACAGACATCGATGCTCATAATGGAACGCTGCTCTATGTGAGGGGCGATATAAGCTAGCAATGGTGACGTGTTCTCACGCACGCAAATGGCAGTTCTAGAAGCAGGGTAGGAGATGAATACAGATACGGAGAGTAATATAGTGGTGGTATTAAATGTTTAGGAATCGGAAACCAGATAAGACACCTAGTCAATAGGGTAAAAACGGCTATAATAACTTACGTTAGACGACGCATTCGCAGAATGGCAATCTGGCAGTACATCGCCCACTTCAGGTCCTTCACAGGGGATGCGGGTTTTAGGAAGCGAACAGGGGTACCCAAAAGCAGCGCCAAGCCGATACAGGCCGACACAACCGTGTAAGGTGAAATCGCTCATGGCAGTTGGACGAAACCCTATCTGACGAGCCAATCCGCAAAGACAGAATGGAAGAATGCTGAAACCTTCTGATGAGGCAACGTCCGCGCTCGTCGCACACAGCCGCAAACGATCAGTGACCGCGGCACGGGACCGTCCAACAACTGAATGGCAGTTGTTCAGCATAGCGGACAATCCAATTGGTTTCAGAGAAGAAATATACCGCGTCCAGCGGGGCTGTTCAAAGTGTGGTAGGTACGGCCAATAACTATCGGGGCGCAAATTCAGCACAACTGGAGACAGAAGAGAAGTTGGTGAATCCTGCATGGGGTCGTGATCGCTGGAAATACTGTCTAGGAGACAATTTTGTTGGTCACAAGGTGATGTTATCTGGAATTGAGCAGAAAAGGATGAAAGCGATGATGCTGGGAGTTATGGGACTCGAGAGCACTATGACTCAATATACAGTGCCGATGAAAAGAAATGAGCCCTCGGAATTAAAGTAATAGGACAACGGAAATAATGTCAAAGAACAAGTTCAAAATACACTAACCTTTATCGCACCGATCGACGAGGAGGAATGCATTGAGCTATAAACTTCGTGATCTTGAAACCCAAGATGACGACCAGATGTGCTATGCTCGTCACGACGCAGGAGATCCGGTGCGTCGGCATTGCAGTTAACTGGCTGCGAAGGTTCGTTGTCTGGATGCCTGTACTGATGGTGGGGATGGCGATTAGGACGATGATGACGACGATGTCTATGGAAGAAAAAGATTTTTTCGGGGGCGGGAACCGGTTGGCTGAGGATACCGTGTTGATCGACGCAGCAAACCGAGCTCACCGCACCCAACGTGATCAGCATGCGTTCCAAATTCGGATTCGGTGAGATAAACAGCTGAAATGAAGCAAGACCCGGACAGTTACCTTCAGATAAGGCTGTAAGCAGGTGATAAACGATAGCAAGTGGGTCAAAAGAAAAAGCTGGGAGAGACTGACATGTTTGAGGGTAATCGGCTTTACGCACGAGGACAGACAAAGAAAAACGCTAAACTTTGGCGAGACAGTTGCACGTATCCATGATGGTTAAACATGGCAGCGAAGTGATTCGACAAGGAATATAGTACACCAGCAAAACACAAATGAGTATGTTATTCGGTTACACGTGGGGGAAATCGTGAGGATGAAAGAAAGCTATTCGTCTTGGAACCAAAGAAAAGATACACCAGGGTTACAGAATGGGATGAAGATGTACAGATCACACAATAATATCCCGTTTGCCATCAGAGCAAAACCAAGGAAGTGCCTGCTTAAGCAGAAATGTAAGGAACACAGTACCCGTAGTTGTGTAGCTTCGGCGGATGTAGATTAGCTTTCGTTGACATTATGGGGTGGGTGTCGCTAGGTACTACTGACCAAGGGACTGTCACGCTTGAGATTTGCTTTTCTATCGTCAAGGAAAATCTCGTGGCACTAGCGACCAACGCCAGTCAAGCTAAGCTCATAAGCCGTAAACTGCTGTCGCGCGTTGTAAAAGCTTGGAAGAGGGGCATCCAACCAACATCGGAAGTAGTGAGCCCAAGCGTTGTACAGTGCAGCAAGAACGACTTAGAAGATCAATGTCACTACAATAAGCTTAATGATTCAGAGATCATGCGAGCCGGTACACTGCATCGACACTGTTGTTACGCGATCACCAAAAGTCACACGTGGACTGGATAAAGCGTAAGGCCGTCTAAATCCACACGGACTCGAACCGGTGGAGTTGTGGTTACCAGGTAAACAGTTCATCCTACCGGCCACCGGCCAACAAGCAACGAACTGCAGATAAGGTTAGTGCTGTTACTTCAATACAACAACCTAGATACTGCCCAACTGTGAGTACAGCATGAAAGTCCTCAATAAGCACTAGCCTATCCAAACCAAGGATCATACCTACACTCCCTGCACTCGGTAGTAGGTACCTGTCGGGGAGAATCAGTAGTACCTGACAGAATTTAATAGGGTGACGATGTAGCAGCAAACTTAGTTTGTCCTCAGAACACCGAAAACTGCACCAAAGAGGAAATTGCGGATGATGGTGTGGGACAAAGGTAAACCTTGGAAGCTGAAGCCGAGCTCCATGACTAAAAATGAGGCAAACGGAAGAAGTAACGGCTCACATTGTGCCAGAAAATCTTGAACTGCTCCAGTGAAATCCAATGAGTCTGATACACGGCTCTCTTTGAACTGTAACCCACGGACGCCAAGCTTACACTTGACAGACGAGAAGAGGGGATAGAGTCAAGGCTGCCGTAACACCATAGTGGACCAGATCGTATCGCTTGATGCAGTCGTTCCCAGCCGGTGGTAACAGTTGCCAGAGCACACAACCAAGTCAGCGTGAATCCGAGACTAGACAAGATGAATGTGAAACGGCCCAGTGAACGGAGGAAACTTGTGGCAAGCAAGGCACACACGCCGATGGAGAAGTTGTGACGATTTATCATCAGAACAAAAAGGGCAGACACGGCAAGATAGGACGCAAGCAAAATTAGCTTCAAGAGGACGGAAACCTTCAAGACTGTGTTGGTGAAGGAATAAAGGTTGGAGTGGTGTAGACGGCTTTTCCGACTTTGAAATGAGTGATATTGCTCCACGAAATCCTGAAAGGGGGCTCTCGTGACAACCGCTTTGGCAGGAAAGGTCAAGGGAGTAGCTGACACATTTCGAACCGAGGAAGTTGAAACATCTTCTAGAGATGGAGTGTAAGCAGTTCCAGGGGTTAAATTAGAAGTATTCTGGAGAAGTTACTGGTTCGTCAAATAACAAAAAACAAACCTCTGGTGGTTCCATTAAAACGCAATGAATTAGAACAACTTGTCCCGGTCTGAGAAGCAACACATCTCCATCGACGATAAGTGATATCGGTAGGATTGTGGGGTGTCCATCCCGGACAACCCAATGGAATGATGAACTCAAGCCAGGTGGAATATCAAATTGTGGATAAAATAATTTTTGGAAAGTAATCAAATCGGCCACCAGCATCCGATCTAGTAGTTGGAAAAAGGTGAAAACAGAGGAAGAACCACACCAATATCATCACACAGAGCAGTGATATTACGCCGGGCCTCGCGCTGGACAGAGATGCGTCTTCGATGGAGGAGAAATGAAGTAACCGAGAGAATCACAGCCATAGAGAATAAAAGATAAAAATCATCACCGAAGCACCTAAAATAAGTGGATGGTTAATGGAAACACCAGCACAGAGGTTCACTTGAAAGAAATCCAAAGTGTGAGTAATGCTGGTGTTAAGGATGCGACTGAGAAGAGGTAGAAGAAAATGAGGAGCAATTCGTGACAAGGAAAGCTGAACACTTTCTTCATGGACCATCTTGAGTCACCATCATGAGAAAACTGAATTGGAAAACTTCTCAACATCCCTCTCAGTCGTCTTAGTGCTTCTTGAGTGCTTAACCCGTCGACCATTTGATAGTTCAAGAAGCTGGAAGGAAGAGTGGATGAACGTGAAGACAATGTCGCACCAGGTTTCAGAGTTTACCTATAAGACAGAATAATATCATTCGCAACAGCAGTACATCAGCCACTTGGACTGATGACTCGCCGCCATAGAGCGATAACGACCTATGGAAAAAAAATTAGAGGGAGAGAAGGACTCACCGGAAAACCATAATGCAAACATTCAGGGTCCAGGCGTCTACAACTTGTGTTATCCAGGATAAGGGAAAAACATTAAGAAAAACCCGTTCAGCAATTAATCGATTAAGTTCGATTGTGCACTGATTTCGAATATTCTGGTACCATCCATTCCTTCACGTGATTGCCAACATACGGAGTTTTGGCAAGAAAGCTGCTATTTTTACCAGTTGAGCTTCCTTTGTTTTTCAGAATCCGAAGGCCACTGAGCTGAGATTTGGTGTATGTCTGACGCAGTTGTACAGCGTTTTGGCAGAGTTCTGGCAATGTTGTGGCTACGTTTGGCGGTGTTTTTGTTAACACGTTTTCGCGATCAAGCTCGTTGGACTACTGATTTTTCTTCGGCTGCGCTAGAATTCTTGCGGAGAATTTTGAGTAGTTCGGAATAGCGAGAAAACTAAAGTACTAACAATGTCGACGGAAACGAACATTTCTGCTGAACATTTTCAAAGGATGCTTCTTCAGCAATGATCCCAATGAATAAGCATAAGTAAAACTGTCTGGAAGTTCGACGCAGTGCCTCAGTGTACAGTCAAACGGCAGCGACGCGGGACAAGCAGACCGTTTCACTTACTCTTCTTACGAATTCAAGCACTGAATTTCATTATGATGTTGATTCCGAATGCACTTTCGAGGCGTGGTTCAAACGTTGGAAGGGCATTTTCCGGACGGATTTCACCCATCAGGATGATTCATGAAAGTGCGTCTTTTGCTCCGCGAACTCGGTCGCAATGAACATTCAAGATTCGTCGACCACATCCTGCCCAAAGAGCTGAAAGACATCACTTTCAACGAAACAGTGACATTACTTAAAGAAAGTTTTGGTGAGTCAACGTCTTTGTTTGACATTTGCTACCAATGTCTAAAAATTGTTAAGCGGGATACGGACGATTATAGGACACTAGCAGGCATGGTTAACCGAGAAGATGAACGTTTCAAGTCACATTGTTCGACGGATGACCAGTGTAAGTGTCTCATATTTGTCAGTGCTTTCAAGTCCCCACGCGACGCGGAAATCCGCACTCGATTCCTTGCTAAGTTGGATCAAGATCACGATTTGATATTGAAGTCTCTTGTAGGCGAATGCAAATGGTTGATCATTTTGAAACACGACACCGTTATGATTGAGCAGAGTTGTCCCACCATTGCCGATATCGTTCATGCTGTGCAAAGGGCAAGAAACGCTGGCTTGAACAAGCCGATAAACAGAGCGCCGAACAAGTCGCCCATACCTTGTTGGTCATGTGGTGAAAGGCATTTCGTACGATACTGTCCATTCAAGCGTCATTTATGTGATGTGCCATAAACGCGGCCACAAGGAAGATTTTTGCCATCAGTCACGACCAAGGAACGTGAAGCAGTCCTACCGAAGGAAGAACTTCCGGAAGCGACGTAAAATCACTATTGGTGATTGCCGCTTTTCCCAGCGATTCTAGACCACACCGCCAATTCATCACTGTGCTCATCAACGGGATCCCAACCAGGCTGCAGTTCGATCATTTCCAAGAACACCTGAAACCACAAAGAAGCCGAAGAGAGTTGATTCGGACAACAGGAATAATAATAATAATAATAATAATAATAATAATAATAGTGTGTCAGCTGTACGCTGTAACGGCGCTTCGCTACCATGCGACCACTACCAGTCGCATGCGACATGAGTATACCGCGAGGACGCCCACCCCTACGCGGATTCGAACCCGTGCCGCAAGATTACGAGACATGCTCGTTACCTCTAGGCTGCGGGCCAACGATTCCAACAAAGTCGCCCACAACGCATCCGGTGGAGTGCAGAAGCTGGTCGGAGAAATAACCTGCAAAACTGCATTCAACGGAGTGAAACAGGCCGAGACCTGCTACTTGTCGGACCGACCAAACTTGTACCTCCTTGGGCTTGACTGGATGGAAAAGTTGCAACCGTTTGACGTTCCAATGAACCAGGTTTGCAATCGGGTCCAAATAGATTCAGTCCAGACATCATTGTCGGCAAGTCGAGAAAGCTAAGGCAGTAGTTTGTCTCCTTGTTTGAGGATGGGCTCGGTCATTACATTAAGTTCAAAGCAAAGTTGTGCCTTCGAGAAGGAGCAAACCCAGTCTTCAGAGCAAAATGACTGATACCGTATGCAGCCATGGCAGCAGTTGATCAGGAGCTAGACCGACTGGAGTACGCCGTTTTTATCACACCAGTAAACTACTCTTCATGGACTGCGCCAATCATTGCCATGAGAAAGCCGAACGGTAAAGTGCGTGTCTGCGCCGATTTTTCAACTGCCCTGAACGTCGCACTGAATGACCATCAGTACTCCCGATAACAGAGGATATCTTTGCCAAGTTGAATGGTGGTAAGTGTTTTACCATGCTCGACTTGTCCGATGCCTACCTCCGGATCGATGTTGCTGAAGGCTCGAGAGAATTACTGACCATCAGCACTCGTCGTGGCTTGTACCAATACAACCGCCTCTCTTTAGGAGTGAAAACAGCACCAGCCATCTTCCAGCAGCTGATGTACACCATGCTCGAGGGTGTTTCTGGAGCCGCGGCGTAGTTGGATAGTATCATTTTAATGGGTCGGACGGCAGGAGAACTATTTGAGCGGCTCGCTGAAGTGCTTGGACGCATCCAGTCATATGATTTCCAGATCCGTGAAGACAACTACGTTTTATTTACCCCCACCATCAAATTTCTCGGCTTCATTTTCTCGAAAGACGGTCGTCGCCCTGGTCCAGAAAATATTCGAGCTATTCAAACGATGCCTTCGCTTGCCGGGTTTGCAATCGCTGCGTTCATTTTATGGCCTAATTAGTCATTACAGCGCTTTTCTGCTCTAACTGCATCGCCTTGGTGCCGCGCTGAACAAGTCACTGAGCAAGGGCCAAACCTGGAATTGGACATCAGAATGCCAGACTGCGTTCGAGCGGGTCAAGTCATTGTTAGCTTCAGACCTACTCCTGACTCACTTTGACCGGTCCCGAGAAATTATCCTCACTACAGACGCATCATATCTAGGGATCGTTGCCGTAGTTTCCCATACGTTCCCAGCTGGATCTCAGAAGGCACATGCTTCCAGGACGCTGACGAAAGCCGAAAGAAACTATAGCCAGATCGAGGAGGCATTGGCTATAGTGTTCGCTTTGAGTAAATTTTTACAAGATGCCGTATGCTCGCCGCTTCAAGCTCTTGAGGTATCACAAACCGCTGCTAGCCATTTCAGCTCGAAACAGTGCATTCCTACCTACACAGCCAATCGACTCCAACGGTGGGCACTCACCTTGCTGGGCTATGATTTTTAGATCCGTTATCAGTCAACATTTTCGATGGGCCAAGCAGATGCGTTGTCACGGCATATTGATTCCCATTAGCAAGAACACGAGGATACCATCATATTCTCAGTTGAGATCGAACCCGCTGTTAAATACCTGGTGAGCGAGGCAATACACAGTTTGCCAGTTACAGCAGAAGCTGTGCGAGCCGAAACGCTTCGAGATCCAATCCTTACGAATGTTACACACTTTCACAGAACCAGCTGGCCACCTTCGTGTTCCTCTGCCGAAATGCAGCAGTTCTATCAGCGAAGACATTCACTCTCCATTATGAACGGTTGCATCATGTTTTCGGAGAGAGTTGTCATCCCGCAGATGCTACAAGAAAGAGTGTTGCGGCATTTCCTGCAGAACATCCAGGGCTCAACCGAATGAAAGCGCTTGCCCGAACTTACGTGTATTGGCCGTTTATGGATAGACAGCTGGAGCAGCTAGCTAGAAGTTGCAGCGCATGTGCTACCGCCTTAAGGGCAGCACTGAAGACTTAACTCCACTCGTGGCCGAAACCGACGGAACCTTAGAACCATGTTCATGTTGACTTTGCAGGCCCAATCAACGGCCAGAACTTTCTCAAAATGGTTGACGCTAACAGCAAGTGGCCCAAAGTGTTTCTCATGAGCAGCAGGAAAACGGACGCAACGGTCTCAAGGTTGCGGCAAGTCTCCAGCAAGTTCGGCTGCCCTGAATCCTTGGTGACGATCAACCGAGCACAGTTTATTTCTGCCACATTCACGGAGTTCTGTAGATGCTGTGCCATAAAACACGTGCGATTTCCACCATTCCACCCACAATCGAACGGCTAAACGGAGAGGTTTGTGGATACATTCAAACGCGCTCTCCTCAAATCAAGGAGTGAGGGAGACATAGAAGAGGTGATCGACCGGTTCTTGCTGTACCCATCCACACAAAATCCACAAACCAGCAGAGGCAATGATGAAGAGAAAGCTTCGCATGTCCTTTGATGCAGTTCGGCCGTTCTCAGAACCCCCATTTGGTGATAGGAACCTCAAAATGGAATCTGCTTTCAATCGCCGCTATGGTGCCGAGCGACGCTCGTTTAAACCGGGCCAGTCAGTACTTGTACGTGATTACCGGGAAGGACACGCATAATGGATGCCAGGCACGGTCAAAGGCAAGCGCGGGAACATCATTTACGACGTGCTGGTTGGAACGTAGGTATGGGTACGCCATGCAAACCAACTGCGACCAACACTGTGTCAGCCACAAGCAAGAGAAATTGCCGAGCTTCAATTTGACCAGTTGACGAACAGCTCCAATTTGCCAAAAGAGCTCGTGGAAGAACCCTGTCAGCAGAACAATGATACCAGACCGCAGAGCACGGAATTCGAATCCAGAACACTACAGCCAAGGCGATGGACCGATAGGCATAGAACACCGTCCAGGAGGCTTCAAGTCAACACCAGGTTGTCATACCATCGCAACAAGACTGGA